TAATTTACATATATATTATTACAAAATATATATACATAACGCAAAATATTTAACCTTTAAATTGTGAATTTTTTCTTTATATTCGTTTTCTATTTGTAATTTTTCATTTTTTAATTTTTCGAATTTTGTTATGTAATCTGTTTCTAAATATTCTATTTCTTTTTTAATTCTTCCTTCTGATTTTGTTATTACTTCTCTTAAAAATGAAATTTGTCTTCTAAAAATTAAATTATTTTTATTATTATATTATTATATTATTATATTATTTATATTTAAAAATGGTTTAATAAAAATATTATAATAATATGTAAAAAACATACTCATAAAATTCTGCTTGAAATGATAATTCGCTATCATATTTTTCATTTATATAGGATAATTTATTTTCCAATTTTGATTTTTCTTCTTCTAATTTTTTTATCCTATCTTTCATTTCTTTAATTTCATTTATAAATTTCTTTTCTTCTTCATCTAAATCCAATTTATAAATTGTAGTATTTGGTATTGATACAGACTGTGTCATTAAAACCTTAAAAAATAAACAAAATTTTATTTTTTTTATTACATATTTCTGTGTAAATATAATGTATAAATATTATATCTGAAAAATTTTACATTAATATATTGATTAATTCGTTCTTGTTGAATTTTTATTTGTTTTTCCAATAAAGTTTGTCTTTCAAACTGTAATTTTAGAAGTGCATTAAATTGTTTCTCTTGATTATGTAATGCAGAATGTTGTGCATTTGTTATTTTATTTAATTGTTCATTTTGTAGAGAAAATATTGCTGCTGTTCTTAATTCATGTTCTTGTTGTTGCATATTTACAAATGCATTTTCTTGATGTAATTGTGTGCCAAACAAGAATGGGAAAATAGATGTATCTTCTAAATCATTTGTACCAGATTTTTTTGAACCTACTGTACTGTTTGTATTTTGAATTTCAATATTTTGTTTAGAAGTAACTGTTTTATCAATTTTAGTTATTTTTTCATTTGTTGTTAATTTTTTTGGACCACCCAACCATTCTGGTAAATCCTTTTCTGTTTTCATATTTTGTATAACAGAATTTTTAGTTGAAACATTTTCATTTGTCATCTTAAAAATTAAAAACATATTTAAAATTGGAAATATTCCCTTTTTTTTAATTAATGTTACAATTATAAACATAATAAATATTATTATAAATAAATTAATAATTTTATTTCATTATTTTAATTTTTATTTTTAATATTTACTTATTATCTAAATTATATTTTATATTAACTTTTACAAATATAAAATATTTAAGTTTTATTTTCCTGATACTTATTTAATTATTTATATTATAAATGAAATATAATTACCAATTCAAGATTTTGATTTGATAATAAATCAACAGATAACAAACCAAGAGGATCATTTATAATTTTTGTATTTCTTCTACCTCTACGAGATTCTTTTGCAAAGAATTTAGTTGATAAATCAGTAGCATCTAATTTTGATTCTTGTATATTTGTAGATTGTTCTAATTCTGTTTTTTTATTATTTTTAGGAATAATAGAATCCACAACATTTGGTGAATGAGATTGATTTTCAAATGAATGCTCTCTTAAAGATAATCTCTTTGTTTTATCTATTATATCACATTTATCATTTAAATTCATTAAAATATCTTCATTTTTAGATATAGTTTTCAATTTCTGTATATTTTTTTCTTTAAATTCATTTTGTGATATAATAAAATTACTTTTAGAAGGTGAATAACCATTTAATTTCTGTGAAAATAATTGATTAGTTTCTTCTTGCTCTAAATGCAATTCTAATCCATTATTTGATTTAATACTCGTTGTAGATGTAATTGGATTTTTGATTTTGAAAATATCTTCTATCAAACTGCTTTTACTACTAGATGCAAATAAACTCTTACTTTCTTTTGCAGAAATTTCTTCATCAGATAATAATCCAGTTAATAAATCATCTTCATTAGGATCTATATATTAAGAAAATTCTCAAATAATTATAAAAATTATAATTTAAAAAATAATAATTTAAATAATTGATTAAAATGTAATTATTTAATTTATTATTATAATTATTTAATTATTATAATATAAATAAAAATTTAATTAATAAATATTGTATCTATATAGAAATATATTTTTTATAAAATTATAAAAAAATAAATACAAAAAATTTTAAATCCAAAAATATTTTTTAAATTTTTTAATAACAAATCATTATTAAAAATAAATCACCAGTTTATGTTATTTATATTTTAAGTGTGTACAGCACCTTTAAATATAACTTTTTTTTTTATTTCTCCATCAGATTGTATATTAGAATCTTTAAGAGCATTTGTAGATTTTAATTTTTTAAATGAATCATTAAATAATTCCATATCTAAACTCTCCATATCTTCTAATGTTTTTGTAATATCATTTAAATTTGTATTTAATGTTTTATTGTAATCAACCATCTGCATATGAA